GATGGTCATGGACTATAATCTTCACACCGTGGACTTCTATGGACTATAAACTTCACAATGGTCATGGACTATAATCTTCACACTATGGACTTCTATGGATTATAAACTTCACAATGGTCACTCGTGACAAAAAGACAATAGAAACCTTCTGAGAAGTATCACTGCGCGAAGAATATTGTTCCTAATATAGAAGCAGGCGGTCTCGTAAGATTACTGTTGACAAGTATGCGCTCCTGTAATGGAGCACCCCCTTTGTTTTTTTGCCGGTCAAAACATCCGCACTTCTTGTCAGTGCAGTCTGCCGCCTTTCAATCTTCATCATATTATAGCTTTCAGATATTAAGGAGGATTGCATCAGTCCCCTTTTCACCACTCGATATTAAAGGTCGATACTACTGCTCGGTGGTAGTGTATTAATGCCCGGGCTGTAGACGCAAGAGCAGATCAAAAGGCGCGGAGGAGAGAAACTAGGGATATCCCCACGGAATAAAAAGAGAAAGGTCTATTTTGGCTGAATGTTATTTCTCTCTCTTCTCAAAGCACGTAAACAGCCCCCTCCCAAAGTAGCCTCGCCCCTTCCAGAAAGGTTACATGAAAAAAAAATCCCACTAACAAATATGGGGCCCCTCAGACTTCGGTTCTGGATCCGTCCTTGTGGAACCGTCCCTTCAAGCATTGATTTCTTCCTTTACCTTCTTGAATTCTGTCTTCCAGTACAGTGGACCTCCTCGAGGGAGGGTTCTGTTTCCCATGCAACAAGGAGGGTTCCTCACGTGCTTCCTTGATGCTCGTAGATAGTCTCCCCCCCCCAATCCTTTTTTTCGTCCCATCTCAAAACGAGGTGGGGGATCTTTCCCATGAACTAAGCTCTGTCACATACTGATCTTTATAAAACTGACATGCGTATTAAGATTTCCAATGTAACTTTAAGTTTAATCATAACGTGTTGTTGTTATTGTTGCTATTTTAACTTAGGCCCGACGCATGTCAGACAAAGTGCGTTAATTGAGTCGAGTGGGCAACGTTGATTTTTGGCTGACCAGTCTTGGAAAGAAAATTGGTGTTTGCAAGGACAGTACGTCTAATCTTCACAAAAATGGTATCTAATGATAGCCAAAAAGTCGATGGTGTGTGCGGGGAGGGGATTCCGCTCAAAGGCCCTTTGGGGTCAAGGTTGTGTCATCATTAAAGTATGACACTGTAGAACTGAATTCCCTTCTCACTGTTCTCGGGTACTTTTTCAGCTGGTGTTTTTAATTGCAGTTCGTTGTGAGCTTCTTGGTTACTTACTCATTACTTCCATCTTCACAAAAGTCGCAAAATGCACTTTAAAAACTCTGAATGTAAAACTCCTCAGTTGGAGGGCGTTGGTGATCACAAAATGACACTTGATTGTCCGCGGGTACTGCGCACTTGGCAGTAGATAGGGGGCGCTATTCATTAATTTGACAGAGTTACATGTACATGGTCGGATGTTCGAAATGGTCTGAAAAATGTCGATTCTAGGAAACTCTTTCCCGGTGTTTTGATAAGTAAGTGGAAGCAGACTCTCCATCTCTTTGAAGGGCTTCTGTTGGATAATTTAAATTTGTTTTGTAGTTCTATTAAACTCAAAGACAACATGGGCATGATACTACTAGGAAAAACCCTTTGGCATTGGCATATAATTGTAGTCCGGAAATTGGGCACAAATTCAGCTGATTTTTTCCCCAGCCCCATAGGCTAAATGGACCCAGGTACGTGGTAATGGACTGCCTCGGAGCCCTGCCTCCGTACCCTGTGTTTAAGTTAAGTTCCATTGGAAACATCATTACCTTCTTAACACTCTTGATTAGGAGCACGTTAAGAGAGTTTATTGTGCACTGAATAAATGCGGCCAAAATGGAATTTTGTGGGAGCTGTGTAGCAAGTACTCACATGTAAACTCGGTACTCAGAGAACTGCAGCTATTGGACATCATACACTGAATTGACGAATTATTAACAACACTTGCATGCTTGCCCATGCTTCCCTGAATAAAAAAAAATTATCTGATGGTAATTTTCCAACATTTTGTCCTTGGATGCATCGTTAGAAAGGGCTTTCCATCGCAATCCGCAAACATGCGTGGATGGGTTGTTCCAGACCATTTGTGATAATGGTTTGAGGCGAAAAACTTTCAACCCAACTATTGATTTCGCCTTTAGTGGGGGTTGTTGCATGTAATTAGATTCTGTTTAATACACCGATCTGTTCATGCTGTATTCCCGGTGTGGTCTGAGAGATGTGAAAAAAAATCACAAGCTTGCTGCAGGAGAAAATTTGAATCCTAGCCAAGCAAGCTTGTGAATTTTTTTGGACCATTCTCCGATTTTGTGGAGAATGCAGTGGGAATTCAGTCGAAGCTCGCAAATAAGAGCACTGTTAATACACGATTCTGCTTATAACAAGGAAATTTTTAGGTCCCTATCTTTTGTTTTTCATTGTTTTTACTCCTGATAATACAAGGTTCCCGTTGCGACAATGTAATTTGGAAAGTCCGAAGGGCCTCTTATGAACGAGGTTCGACTGTAGTTGTTATTAATGGCAAAACATTTTTTAAAAATTGTCTACACTTTAAGTCTCCATCCGTCCTGTTGCATCCTCTTCTGTCTCGCAGCATCATGCACAAGTCGCTGGCCTTCTTAATTGGACTGATACTGACCAGCTGCTTGATCTACATCCTCCTCGGTAGCTATGTGGTGCTCCATTACTCTGGCCGATCCTCGTCAACGTTCCACCTTGGACGTGATCTCCTCAGGAATGCCACAAAGTGGACTCATGCCTTAGTTGAACATGATCAAAATCCTAAACCATCTGGCCCTGACGTCCATGGAGCCCTCCGTCATTACATATCACTTGTGGACAATAAGGTATTCCCATTTTCACCAGAGCAATAATGATTCTCTACGTACACTTGCATTTCAAGTAATTACAATTGTTAAGACTCCACATATTCCTGGCAATCATTCCGTCTCTGTAGGTACATGTAATTAATGAGTTAACATACTTTTTCTCATTTCTGCGCAAGTAACGTTTGTAAATGAAGGACGTGTACCAGTGTTGTAGTTGAGACCACTTAAGACCACGTAAGTCACAAGCCATTCAAATGAACTTCAACAAAAGCATTCCTTTGTCATTGCTCAACCTGTTTGGTACTTGTGCCTGGTCTTGTGGTGGTCTCGACTACAATACGGACATGTTTGTACGCACTGTGTTTTGTCAAGTACAGAAAGAGAATACCAACTGAGAATAGATAAACTTTTAACAGTTGTTTTAATCACGTGCAAGCTTTCTACTACAACTGGACGTGAAAAGAAGTCAAAAAAATATATACGTGCTTCAAATAACCCAAATTTAAAAAGCTAGTGCCAGGATTTTTGCCTGTGTGTCCATGCACGGTGCCCTCTTGATGAACGGTGTCACTGCTAGACACAATGAGGTGTCATGCCATGTGTTTCCTGTCTGTGTTCATTCGGTGGCAGGGTTGATGGAAATCATGATTTTAAAAAAGGAAGAAAAATTTAAATGTTTTGTGTCATTTCAAACTGTAGCTGGGTAATTCCAAAAATTAGGGGTCCATTTTTTTGTGGCCCTGTCACATCTGACTTATGATTTTGTAAGTTCAGAACACATTTTCTGATTTCCAGGAGTGATGAATTAATGCAAATTACCTGCCAAACAAATAGTAATAGTTTGAAATCAATTTCGGTGATATTTCCATGTCAAGTAACAAAGGTCAGATGTAACAGGGATGTGAAAATCTGACACTTTTGGACCCCTAATTTCTGGAATTAACCAGTTATTTATCATTCCGATGTAGTGTCAGTAAGATTAACAGTTTTACTCATCGCTTTGCCTGGCCAGAGAACCAATTTGAGTTGCACCTCCTGTGCGCTGGTGTCCAGCTCCGGATTCCTGATTGGCAAAAATGCCAGCAAGGAAATAGACAGCCGGTCCTGCGTCATCCGACTCAACATGGCCCCCGTCCGAGGCTTTGAGAAGGACGTCGGGTCGCGGACCAGCCTGCGGGTCCTGAACTTCTTCATGATAGACGTGAAGCCCGAGGCGCTGCCCAACAACAGCAGGCTCATGGTCTGGGGTTTGCTGAAGAGAAAAGACCACTTGCAGGATGTGACAAAGATGGTCAAACATCTCAGTCCAGGCTCAACTATTCACGGACAGACTCACAAAGGCGAACTGGAAGCTGAAGAACTGTATGCCAAAGAAACCGGACTCCATCCGTGAGTACTGAAAAAGCTTGTCGAGTACTCCACAAGTACTCACGAGCATTGCGATTTTCTCACAACGCGTGGACAACACTGGCAAATAAGTGTGAACGATGAGTCTTGGTTGAGGGCAAAACCTACATATAAAGCCAACTTAACACTGACTGCTTGTAGCATCCACTGCTGTATTGGATTCAGGTTCACCACCTGACCTCGGCAAACCCATTGGTCAAGTGATTAAGACATCCGCACTAGTAAGCAGGGTGTTGTGGGTTCGATTCCCACCCAAGCAAGCTTGTGATTTGTCTTGCAAGTCTCATACCACATCGAGAATTTACGTGTACAGTGCATGCTTGTAAGTCGGTGTTACAGCAAATAATCAAGTGTTAAAAACATGTTGAAGAGGTCATCACAAGTACCCTAGTCATACCAAAATTAGAGGCTATTCCTCTAAACCCAAAATACACATTCATTTGTACTTGCTCGCGGACTGAAAATCTGTATGGATATTGTGTGAAGCACTTGTGAAATACTTGACTGCAATGGTTTAAAACCTACTGGGCCCTGATTCCACTAAGAACACAACCAAACCTAGCGGTGGTCAGTGGTGGTCAACAGAGGCTTTGTGTGGTAGCCATCTTGCAGGGTAGTTCTTTTGTTCTGTCGTGCATTCCCTGTGGAACAAAAGCACTGGCCTGCAAGATGGCAGCCATGCAAACCCTCTCATGCTGTTATCTGCTGTTGAATTTATGCAGTCGTCAACACAGAATTGCAGAGGTCTGGGTAAATGCTTATGTAAGCAAGGCTGGTGTTTCCATTGTGCAGTGGAGCGATAGATGTCAGATTTCTTCAGCATCCAACTGCTATTTAATGCATGTACAGACATCTGTACTGACAAGACCCTACTGCACTGTACATTGTACATGTACATGCAGCAATCGGATGCGATGACAGCATGCCGTTTACTGACTCTCCTCATGAACAACAGGGCCCAACAGGACCAATCTGAGGCACCACAAGGACCACTTTGCCGCTCATTCTATGCTATTCATATCGAGAGTGCTGATTGGCCAGAGTGTGCTGTCCCAGTGCCGCTCATTCTATGCTATTCATATCGAGAGTGCTGATTGGCCAGAGTGTGCTGTCCCAGTGCGGTACCTTTGACATACATGTAATATACAGGTTTTATGCACTGCTGTTTATCGCCCCATTGCACGGATCGTTTGCTCACATTGTAAACACTTCAATAGGAAATCGCTGTGTTCAGTATTTTTTGTCCTTTTTCAATGGATAGACAAGTCTTATTATTTGACTGAATTGGCTGTTGATACTTGACCTACCTGACAAGTAACGGTCATCCTCTTTGTTTTTGTTGTTGCAAGTGTGAAGACCAGATCCTGGCTCTCGACGGGTTGGTTTGCAATGATGCTTGCCGTTGACCTGTGCCAGGAGGTACATGTGTATGGAATGGTGCCAGCCGACTACTGTGCGTAAGTGCTCCATTTTTTGTCGTCCATTGGTAAATTTGGTTTCAACTTCTCACAATGCTATAGGCTTATCCTGGAATAATGTCTGTAGTCACCAGGTCCCTAACTTGCCTATCTACTGTGAAAACTGTCCCTACACTTGACAACAGGTAGCGAAATTGAGAGTCTGACAACTGTACCGTCACGGCCATCTGAATTAGAAACCACTACTTCATGCTCACATGTGGTCATATTAGCAGTGTCGAGGTGGAGACCACTTACATGTACATATAAGACCTTGACAAGATTAACACAAGACCTTGGTCTTGTGCA